AAACGGCCCACGAAATCGCCAAGAACACCGTTCAGGCCCAGCCCTGGGAGGCACCGCCCACTGGCCTGCAGCTCGCCCCCTTCCCCGGAGGGAGGCCCCGCCCCCGCGTGGCGCCGGGGGGCAGCCGCGGCGGGGTGCACCTCCGACCGGGGAGGGCGCCTCGAGGCCCAGTGCCCGCGGGCTCTCCCCCGGCCCGCGGCGCCCCGACGGGCCGCGCCGCCCCAGCGGCAGGGTGTGCGGGCCAGAGGGGGAGAGCGGCGGAGCGACCGCCTCTCTCGGCCTGCAGGTCGCGCCAGGAGGAGGCACGCGGGACAGGGAGGAGGAGGAGGGGGAGGAGGAGGAGGAGGAGGAGGAGGAGGAGGAGGAGGAGGAGGAGGAGGAGGAGGAGGAGGAGGAGTAGGAGGAGGAGGAGGAGGAGGAGGAGGAGGAGGAGGAGAGGAGGAGGAGGAGGAGGAGGGGAGCAGCGAGGGGCAGCGAGGATTACAAAAGCTCGCAACATGCTTCAAGGGTGCCAGGTACCGACCTGGCGGGCCCCGGGGGGGAACGTATGAACGTATGGCTGAGCTGCGCCTTCCGGCCCGTGGAGCCTAAACCAGGAGGGATAGTTACAAGTGGTGGGGGAACTGTTGGAAAGTGCACATTCGCAAAAAATGTCAGCAAGTGCAGCAAACAGTTGATAAACATCGGCGTGGGCCCTGGGTCCTGGCGACAGGAGCAGGGGCAGCAGCGGCAACGCGAGGACAAAATGAGCACCAGCAGCAGAACACGCAAAGGATTAGCAGTATGACGGTGACGATGGAGGAGAAGGGGGCACGAAAGGGAGTTTACAAAGAATGCAAAAAAAAGAGAAGGAGGAGTAGGAGTAGGACGAGGAGGAGGAGGAGGAGGAGGAGGAGGAGGAGGAGGAGGAGGAGGAGGAGGAAGAGGAACATCAGCAGCATGGCCGGGCGGAGGAAGGGGGAGGAGGACGAGGACGACGACGACGACCAGCACAACAGGCGGGGCGGTAAGCCCCGTTTGGGGGTCTCTTTGGGCAAAGGGGAATAGCTAGCCCGAACGACACCCCTGATCCCCGCGGGGCCCAGGACATCCAATCTTGCCGCTGGGCTGTCCTTCGGGAGCGGCAAAGAGGGGGGTGTCCAAGAGGGGGGGGTGCAAATCATGACCGGCGGCACGTGCGCGGCCCAGCGGGGGGGCCAGGGACGTAATGAAATAAGAAGAGGCGCTATTAAATCTGGGGAAATATCATGGCCCCCGCCATGATATCCACCCCCCCTAGTCATCAACCCCCTCTTTTCCGCCCCCGGGTCCTGGAGGGGTCAGCACCTCGTGTGCCGGGGTCGCCCCGGCGTCCTAACCCCCGGGGTGATTGCGCAGGTGCTGGTTGTCGGGGGCGCCCCACGCGTCCCGCACACCCGGCCACCCCAGGGGCTGCGGAAAGGCATGGGCATGGGCATGGGGAGAAGGAGGAAGAGGAGGAGGAGGAGTAGGACGGGGAGGAGGAGGAATACGGGGGAAGCAGGACCAGTGCAAACCCAAGAGACTCATCTATGAGGTTGCAGGAAGCGCCCTCACTCCAGATTCCCTCATCCTAGGTCCTTACAGAAGCTTAATATCACTGGAGGAAGTTCCACGTTGGAGGACAGCCGTCTGGAAATCCTGAACCCTGCCAGAACAACATTCTTGAGGCATCAACGCTGCGAATCAACAATATTGTTGCGTCCTGACGACCCTGAATCGTGCCAGAACAAACTCCTGGGCTTCCGCGATCCAACACGACTGTTGCGCCCTGACGGTCCCACATCGCGCCCAGACACTACCCACGAAACTGTTGTAAAGTGTCACGACGAATGCGCGCGGGGCCCAGGCTAGGGCCAGATGTTGAAAAAGGTATCGCACTCCAGTCATGACATTCCCAAACACTTGTAAAACGAATGCGCGCGGCGCTAAGAAGAACAACATAAAAAAACGGGCCGCCCTCCAGCCACAAAGCGTATGCAAATGTTAAAAAAGAATGCGCGCCGCGCTAAGGCGAGAACCACAGTTTGAAAACGGCCCGCCATCCAACAGTGAAACTCTACGGTTAAGGATGAAACGGTTCGGATGTCTCAGGCGAACGCCCGGACTGCCCTAGCAACATTTCTCGGGATGCCACTGGGGGGACTCATTCTATAAGAACAAGGGAGGGAGGAGAAGGAGGAGGAGGAAGCAGCGAGAAGGAGGCGGAGAAGGAGGAGGCGGAGGAGAAGGAGGCGGAGGAGGAGCCCAGCGTACGAAGGATCCTCCTTGCCTGCCTACCCACTCCCGCACCACGGCCGCGCCTCGACGCGCATGATGACGTCGGGCGGCGGGCGGGGCCGCGGAGGGTGCGAGGGCGCACCAGACATGAGCTGGTCGGCCTGAACTGTGCCGAATGCGAAGTGCACGTCGTTAGCCGCTCTTTCAATCAAAGGATGAGCGAGAGGAGCAGCATCGAGGGGACGGGTGGAGAAAATAGAATTGGCACCAACGATAGACAGGGACGGGCGGCGGCAATTGACAGCTGTTACAAACGCTGAATGCACAGGGACGGAGTGGCCAGACAGGCTGGATAGTCGAGCAGGGACAGTCGCCAAAATGCAGCGAGGACGCACGATGGGGGAAGCGGAAGTGGGAGAGAAGCGAGCAGCAGCATCGGCAGGACTCGAGGAGACGGACAGAGCCGGGAGAGTGCGAAGGCGCCCATCGGCGGGGACACTCACAATGCGGGGGCGAGAGGCCGCCATGTGGACAAGCAAAGGCGAGGACGAGAGACGCGGCATGCTGGACTCAGTACGCATCACTGGAGCCGTCGGCGACATCGACTGTGGGCACGGCATCGGTGAGGAAGTCACACTCGACATCCAGCATCGAGAGGCACACCCCATCGTCCCAGGCAATGCAATCGTCCCGCAGGGCGCAATCCTCCCACATGAGCCCACCCAGGCCGAGTCTAGCGATACTCCGCTCGAGACTCCAGGCTCGCAACTTACTCCAGAGGAGACCACGAGCTCGCAATCTACTCGGTGAACCTGGGCCAGCGGGCTCGAGGCGCACCCGCTTCCAGGATTTTGCGATCTGACGCCAGTACGAGACTTGTTCTCGCAATCTACTCTAAGAACCTGAGGCGGAGAGGTCGAGGAGCCCTCTCCTTCAGGGTTTTGCGATCTGACGCCTCCCGCGCAAGCAGGATCCATCTGCGAGGGGATGCCAGGGTTGCGTCCACAAGGATGGCAGAGCGCTCTGACGCCACTCGACACTGGGCTCGAGGAGCACCCAGTGGCGTGGGCCACCGATTGACCGTCACCATCCCCTTGGTCATCACATAAGTCCTCCAAGTCCGCAAGACGACCCACCCGCTCAGGCGTTGCGAGAAGCGTCGCAGGCGTCGCAGGGGAGGGCAAGACAGTCTCCGCTCCAGGGCAGGGAGGTCCCACCACCACGACGTCAGGGCGCAGGTCAAGCATGACAAAGTCCTCCGACGCATCCGACGCCGCTCCCGAACGTGGGGACGACGACGCAGTGGAGACCACCGGTGTCAGCCGCGGGCTGTCTGGGTGACCAGGGCGCTGTCGAGCAGAAAGACCAAGCCCGCCGCCGACCGCTTCCACCAGCGAAGAGGACGATGAGGAGGACGAGGACGAGGAAGACGCAGAGTCGGGCCGCCGACGACGTTGAAAGTCCAGCAGCACTTGACCCGCCCGTGCTCAATTGGCGAGGCGTTGCGGCTCGGCCATAGTCATAGATCGAACACCTGCCAATGCACAAGAATGCAGCTGAGTAGGCGTGATAGGCCAAGCAGGAATGAGCCGCGCCTCATTGTAAGCAGCATACACGACCGCCAAGTATGCCATTGCTTCGACTGTCGGAGGGCACAGCCCCCAACGTTCCAGAACTGGAAGAGGAAAGGGGCGAGCCAGAGCACGACGAACAGCCACGTGAAGTGGGCGGCAATAAGCATAGTGCCGAAGAGCATCCGACGCACCAACACACCCAAAGGCGCAGCAGCGCCGTCCAAAGGGGTGCAGTATCCGACTCGATGTGAGCCGCGCATCCGTCCATGTCCACAACGCAGCCCATGCCCAAGAGAGAGGACAGGAAGTGAGGACCGCCTGGACTGTGTCCCACTGGATGGAATCAAGCGCACCCGCATGCCGCGGTAAGAGCTTGCCGAGACGCTTCCTCAGCAGCGACACAAGAGGAGCCTCCACTTCATCAGCTTCGCGAAGAGCACGATGAGCAGCACGCTGCGGTCGCGGCCGCTTGCCTATTTGCGGGACCAGAGCATCACGTGCCACGGGAAGCGCACAAGCCACCATCCGACATTCGAGGGGTCCAGGAGCCACTCCACTCACGACATCAGCCAGGGTCTCCACAAAGGCTGGGGCTTTCCAGAAACCAGGATAGAGACGCCCCGTGCCGAGCATATCTAGGGAGTGCCACATCGGATGTGCCTCCACGCGCCCGAAGTCGGGACAAAATCTCCGTATGTTGCGGGAGCGTCAATAGCGCTGATCGGACCAATGACGCAGTATTGAGATGTCCCCACCTGAGCACACGAGGGCAACCCCACTTCTCCAGTTGAGTCCAGCTGTCAAGTGCGAACGCGCCCAAGGGGACACGGAAGACCTGCGCCAAGACGAAAAGCTCGAGCCGCAGCAACGGCAGCGGGAGCCAGCAGAACTGCGATACATACGATAAGGTGGACACTGCACGTTGGTTATATAGACTCGCCGAGATACTAGCCGGGGTAACTTCATGAGCAATAGCAAGGGCGCGAAGACGAAGCTTAGCTATGGGGTCAATCCAGCATCTTCTCGAGTCCGCGGCGGGGCCAAACCAGAGGCCGAGGCACAGGAGCTCAGGAACGACATCGAACGAGGCCCACCGAGGAACGACTTGAGCGATAGCATCCTTGACATGGCCCTGGAGAGAGACATCAAACCGACCAGACAAAGGAACCACCTGACATTTAGCAACTTTCAGCTGAAGATTCGCTAGTGTCTCGGCCAGAGACATAACGCGATACACGTGAACTAGATGACGAACTGCCGAGAGGACCCCACCTATATCATCAGCACACTCCCTTATAAGCCCCCTCATGTCCCCATCAATGCAGGTAGCCAGATCCCACAGAAAAGCTGCTGTCCCAAGAGCACGCAGCGAGCCCGATAAAGCGTCACCCTGCACAATACCACTCCGAATCCAGAACAACCTCACGAACTCCCCCTTCAACGACGCCACGCCCTCAATGGCTTCGCACAGACGCGCAATAAAGGAGAGGAGGACTTCAGGGAGGCCGAGGCAGGAGAGCACGAACATCAGGAGGCCCTGGTTGAGAGAGGGGAACGCCTGGCCGAAATCCAGGGAAAACAAAACTGGGTAATCCAGGGAGCCAGACGGGGCAACCGATTGACAACGCGCATGCACATCGAGCTCCAGCACATTGACCCCGAAGTTACGTCTAGGGATAAACCCGCGCTGACAGCCCGGCACAGCCACCTCAAGTATAGGACGCACAGCATAGTTCATCACCGACGACATAATGTTAATATCTGTGTTCCGCAGGCCAAGTACCCGCACCTTCTCTGGACTCCGTGTACATGACCCATCACGCAGCTCGGCATCGGCGATCTCTTTGGGTAGGAAGGCCTGTATCTTAGCACCAGCACTGTCGAATAGCGCCTGCCCATGACACAGCCATTCGAAAGCATTCCACAGGATTTTGGCACCCATCGGTTCAGCTGGCCAAGCAGCATGCGGCACCCCATCGATCCCAGGAGCAGAGTCTTGCACCGATTTCAGGACACGTCGCAGAAGTCGAGGGGTAGGCGGAGGAAGATGAACATCTCCAACTGGCGGCAGCCACTGTCGAATATAGGTGCCCGCAGTATTTCGATCCCCAGATTTCTTAGCAAATACAGGGCCCCAGTATTGACCTAGAACTCTCAATTTCTCCTGGGGGTCCGTGACAACATGATCAGGAGACTCGCGCACACACGTCAAAGCAAGTCGACGACCAATGGGGGACCACAACCGAGCTTTTCTCTCTAGAGCTCTGAGCTGCATTCGAGTCAATCGCGAGCAAGCCCCAGGAGTCGATGCCGAGGCAGACGAGGATAACGCAGACCGCTCCAGGTCAGCAGCATCCCGCTGTACCTGCGCACACCATTGCTGGAACGACGGAGGATGACGCAGTGCCACAGCATGCCCATCCACCCTTGCATGTGCAGATGCCAAGCTATGCGACGCTAAGGTGCGAGAAGCCAGTTGCCAGTCCTGACGCCAGATCACTCGCGCAATCATCCTGGAGAGCAGGAGGAGGGTCTTGGGGTGCTCAGGGAGGGTCTTGAACATATGGTCTCTGGTTTCTTTCCCTACGATCTTCACGAGGCCCTTAAAGTGCTCCAGCTGGAACGGAGGCGACAAGAGATCCCACTTAGAGTCCACGCGAGCCCCGCCAACCTCTTCTGGAACCAAGGGTCCTGACACACATGCTTGGGCACACACCTAGTCTCTGGCAATCGTGCACTGCGTGGGGTCAGAGAATCAATAACAGCAGCATGATCCGAAATCCCTTTATCAGACACACATGCAGGGGCGTCCAGCGTCGTCGCCATCACAGACAGCTGGCAGGCCTGCCAGCTGGCGAGGGAGCAGAAGATGCGGTCAACCGCCGGATCCGCGCCCGCATGGCGATCGAAGTGCGTCGGCAGCGAGTGCTCGAGCTCAAGCATGCCCCCCAAGGCTTGCTTCCAGATCGCAGCACGTCCATGATGGCGCCGCTCCGACTGCTTCACCGCGGCCACAGGTGAATCCAGGATGAGCGCCTCCTCCGCCGCAAAGTTGAAGTCGCCCAATATAATCACCAATACTTTGTCTGGGAACTCCTCCGCATATGAGAGGTCACATCGAATTCGACGAACGACGGCACGAACTGTATCAGCATCAAGCTCATGGTTGTGCACATTATTTATGATGGGCTCAGCTTCTGGTGCAAGTCTAGCAACTCGAATGACCCTGCCTGCCACCACAGGCTGCGACTCAACACGAGTCTCCCCGTTTGCTGAAGACAACAATGGTGGAATCAAAACTGCAACTCCTCCGCGAATCAGCGAGTCCCCAAATGATGACTCAATGTGCACGGTAGGGTCGATGGCACGTAGATATGACTGAAGTTGGACCTCATCTTGGCGAACCTCCTGGAGGGCCACCACTGTCTCCTGCAAGCGCAAGCGCGAGAGGTAGTGCTTCTTCAAGCTGGACTTCTGCCCGCCAGCCTGGAGTAGCGAACGACAGTTCCATGAGGCGAATCGTAGTGAACGTGGGGGTACCCCATCACGAGGGACACAATGACGAAATAGATGCCACACATTAAAGACACCACTGTTCCTCTGCTGCAGGCTCGACCAAGCATTTGGTGCATGCCCGCAGTCGCTCGATGTCCACGTTGTTCTTCGTGATACGGTTGGGCCCCCAATGGAGCTTTGATTCATCCTGTCCCGCGCCAACCTCCACTTTGAGAATCTTGTCCCAGCCCACCAGCAGACATCCTCGCTCACGGTCCGAGAACAGCTTGGCCTGTGGGTACACATTCGCGATCTCCGAGCGGCACCGCCGAAGTAGTATCTCTGTCTTAATTTGTTTCGGACTTTTGTCTGGTCCGAGGAAGAGCCTGCAGTCAGCCGAGCCTGTGACGCCGACTGTGAACTCCCTCCACTGGTTGTCCACCTTGAGGTTCTGCAGCACCGTGTGCGCCTTGCGCGTCGCAGGGGCCACGGCTCCTTTGAATGCAACCACGAAGCGCTTGGATGGTTCATCACCTGATGCTTTGATCTCATATTCAGTCGACTCATATCCCAGCCCACTGATAAATGGCTGCAGGGTTTCACGTACATGGGCCACCGTAGTGTGCTTCTGCGCCATTGCAACCACGATCGTGCCGTCGATGTCACGGTCGAAGCCCGCAGGAACCCGCGGAGGTGGCTGAGGTCTCTCACTGGCGAGCGCCAACGCACGCTGCATGTCATCCAGGCGACGGTTGAGGGTGTCGATCGCCGTGTCGTGCGCCTCGAGGCGGCGGTCGTGTTCTCCGATACGGTTACGCTGTGCATCCAGCTAGGCCTGAAGACGACGAGACACATCGTCAACTTGCGGCCTGGCAACTGACATGATCTTCTCATCCATAGTGGCTTGATTGTCCTGCACCGTCTGGCGAACAGCTTCGAGCAATTCGAGTACAGTCTTGTTGCCAGCAGCGACGGACTCTTTGACGGACCTGCCCAGCTCATCCTTGACCTGGGCCTTCCACTCTTCGATAAGGGGAAGCAACTCAGCCTTGCACAACTCCCGCATGTAGTCATCTCCATCCCATTCATCCTCCTCTCCAATGACAACATCTCCGTTTGCAGGAGTGCGCCTCTTGGTGGGCGGGGGCCCAGCAGGTCGAGAGCCAGCAGCACTAGACACACCACCCTTGCCGCCCTTGCCGGTGCCGACCATACGCTCCTGTGTGGGAAACGTGGGGGCTGCCTCCAACTCATCAGCAAGACGTTGACACTCAGATTCAGGAGGCAAACCCATTGGAGCAGCTTCCACACAGAAGTCTTGGCGGGGGCCCAACTCCCGCAGTGAAGGCACGAGAGCAAAATCAGGCACAGGAAGATTGGATTGGAGAGCGGCCTCAAAGCGGAACCTCCCTCGCGCTCAGAATTCGCCCCGTGAGACTCGCGGTCGTCGGGACGGTTCATTGCCTTGAGACAAAATGGCTACGGAGGAGGCGGAGGAGGAGGAGGAGGAGAGGGCGGGGGGCAAGGGGAAGAGGAGAACAAGGGGAAGGAAGAGGAGGAGGAGGAGGAGAGGACGAGGACGTCGGAGGGAGCATTTAAGGATTATCTGAATAGCAAAACTGAAAAAATAATATAATCGACATAAGCCATAAGCAGAATATTTGGGAGGTCCGCGTGGATGCCAGGATGCCCCTGATTGGCGCTAGACCCCCAGCTGCGCCTCCGGCATGCTCCGAACGCCAGGGGAGGGAGGTCCCGCGCCGATGAGAAAGCCTCCGCTGGCCCGCTGGCAGGAGTCACCCCCGCTGGCCCTCAAGTCGAGCATTGGCAGGACTCGGTTCAATGGGACCTGATTTAATAATATGTGCTTGGGGACGCCTCCCCCGCCCAAGTCCACTGTGACAGAACTGCCGTCACCCGAAACCCGTAATCTAACGCAAACCTGATTTTTTGTGAGACCGGCATGTTTTTGTGCCACGGGTCCCTATCACTAACCAGCTCCCCTTACCCAGGGCCCTGGCTATATCCGACGACGAAGGTACACCCCATGAGCGTGGGAGGTGCCACGCGGGGCTACCTGCGGGCATTAGCGCTCACCAGCGACGTTCTGAACACTGGGCCTCCCACGAGGGCAGAAAAAGAGGAGGCAGAAGACGACGACGAGGGGGCTGGTCACCACGAGTGGCAGGCCCCTGGGGAGGTTGCGGACGAGGGGGACCTGGCGACAGCGCTGCCGACCGCAACCACACCGAGTCGCGAAAAGGAAGAGAAGGCGGCGGAGTGTGGCATGTAAGCGCGGACAGATCCCCTTTGATTCCATGTCCCATGTCCGATCAAGCGCACGGCAATCTCCACCACAAAGATAACGGCGAAGACTGATGCTGCGACCTCGCCGGCGGGAAATTGCAGCCCTACTCCTCATCCAGGCCTGAACCGAATCGAATCTTAAATTCGGAGCGCGCCTTGGTCGTCGCGGAATCGGGCTGGGGTCGGATAGTTTGCGAACGCCGATGATCGGTCTCGGCCCCTGCAAGCCGGAGAGGGAGTCCGTAGCGTCGGATCGGATCGGATCGAATAGAGATCATATTCCAAATGTGTGGATCAGGTCGGATCGACTCGGACCGTGAGGAGCTCTGTCATCCCCCAACTCCCCTCTCCACCCCCTCGCCCTCCTCCGCATCCTCTTGATCCAGCCACGTAAACTTCTCGCCCTCGTCCTCCTCGTCGTCCTCCTCCTCCATCATCATCATCATTATCACCACCACCACCATCATACTCATAAGCATCACCACCATCATCAAAATTACCATCACCACAACAGTAATCAGCATCATCATCATCATCATCATCATCATCATCATCATCATCATCATGTTAATCATCATCATCAGCATCTTCATCATCATCATCATCATCATCATCATCATCATCATCATCATCATCATCATCATCATCATCATCATCGCCATCACCATCACCATCATCATCATCAGCAGCATCATCATTATCATAATCGTCATCATCACCATCAGCATAGTCATCGTCATCATCGTCATCATCGGCATCATCCTCGTCATCAGCTTCATCATCCTCACCATCATCGACGCCATCACCACCCTCTTCATCAGCATCATCAGCATCATCACCACCATCATCATCATATGCATCATCGTCATCATCATCAGATTCATCATCAGTATGACGATCATCATCAAATTCATCATCATTAGCATCATCATAGTCATCACCATCCTCATCCGTGTCCCCTGCTCCTTTCCCTCCTCCGTCTCCTCGTCATCCTCGTCACCATCATCATCAGCATCCTCATCATCATCAGTATCAGTCTCATCATCATGATCACCATCACCATCATCACCATCAGCATCGTCATCAGCATCATCACCAACACCATCAGCATCGTCAACATCAGCAGCATCATCATCATCAGCATTGTCAGCAGCATCAGCACCAGCTCCAGCATCAGCATCATCCTCATCATTACCATCACCATCACCGTCGACATAGTTTTCAGTATCACCATCATCATTCCCCTCCTCTTCAGCAGCATCATCATCAGCAGCAGCATCACCATCGCCATAATCGCCATCATCACCGTCATCACCATCAGTATCATCATAATCATAGTCGTCGTCGACATCATTAACACAACCAGCAGCATGAGCATTAGAACCAGCATCGGCATCAGCATCATCAGCGTCGTCATTAGCATCAGCATCAGCATCTTCATCATCCTCGTCCTCTTTTATCCTCATCATCCTCAATACCATCATAACTCACCACCAGCACCACCCTACACCACCATCATCCTCCACCTCTTCATCACCCTCACCCTCTTTTTCCTTCTCCTCCTCGTCGTAAACAGTATCATCATCGTCATCGTCATCAGCAGCATCATCATAATCAGAATCGCCATCACCCACCATTAGCACCACCCTCCCACTCCTCCTCATCATCATCAGCAGCAGCAGCCTCATCATCATCCTTGTGACTCTCTGTTCCTCCTCTCCCACCAGCTCCGTGCACACTCGCCTCAAACATTTCCAAAACATTCACCGACTGAGGGCGGTTCCTTTAAAACATGCTTCTCTCGCCCTAGCGCCGTGCACATTCGATGCAAGAAACAGCAAGAGATTTGCGGATGGAGGGCGGTTTCTTTTCAAAATGTGGATCTCGCCTTAGCGCCGCACACATTCATTGTAAGAGTCCACAACCGTTTCAAATATTATCATGGTTAATCCCCCCGGCATTGTGCTTTGACATGATGTCGGACTGTCAGGGCAAAATCGTTACGTTGATTCGTCGTGTTGACTTCCCAGGAATGGCATTCTGGCACGGCTCAGGACCCTCAAGTCGCAAGAGGAACGGTGACTCGCGGCGCTGAAATCCTAGGCATGGTATTCTGGCACAATTCGGAATTTCACACGGTTGCTCTCCAACGAGGCACTTCCTTCAGTAAAAACGAACCCTTGCAGGGGCACATGAAGAGTGAATTTGAGGGAGGGTTCATTGGAATGTCGTTGATGCGTCTTGCGTTTGCACTTGTCCATTGCCCCCTCCTGATCCTCGTGACTCCCTTCTTCTCCCTTCCCTCCGGCTCCTCGACCTCTTCCTTGCGGGTCTTCGTCAATGGGGGGCCATAAACGTGGGGTGAGTAAGCATGCACTTTTCGCGAACCCTTTGGGCCCGCTGTGCTGTGGCAGTTCAGGGGCCGTTTAGGGCCCCATTTAGGGCCTCTTTCCTGTATTCTCGATCCCCCCGCCCCTTGCCGTGCGCAAGATTTTCTTCCCCCCCCGCCTTGCTACCCGGACCCTTCCCGCTCCCACGCCCCCCAGGGGAGGACGGAGGAGGAAGGAGGAGGAGGAGGAGGAGGACGAGGAGGAGGAGGAGGAGGAGGAGGAGGAGCTCGAGGGAGGAGGAGGAGGAGGAGGAGGAAGAGGAGGAGGAGGAGGGGGAGGAGGAGGAGAAGGAGGAGGAGGAGGAGGAGCTCGAGGAAGGAGGAGGAGGAGGAGGAGGAGGAGGAGGAGGAGATCGAGGGAGAAGGAGGAGGAGGAGGAGGAGGAGGAGGAGGAGGAGGGAGGAGGAGGAGGAGGAGGAGGAGGAGGAGGAGGAGGAAGATGGAGGAGGAGGGAGGAGGAGGGGGAGAAGGAGGGTGAGGAGGGCTCGCCCGCTCTCCAAGCCCCACGCAGGCGCGTCGGTCCAAAAGAAGCGGCCTCGTGGCTGCACAGATGGTCGACGCGCCCGTTTTGCCCCTGACTATTTTTTGTTATTTTTGCATACTCCTCCTGTAGAGGGACAGGCCCGACTTAAGATAAGTGCCCAATATCATGTCTGGACGGCCCGAGACGCCTCCGAGACGCCTCAAGAGAGCCCCAAGACGAACCCCAAGGAGGCACCGAGGGGCAAGCATCATGCACTCTCTTTGGTCATGGACATCTGTTCGCGTTGTCGCCTCGTCGCAACTCCGACTGCCCAAGGCGGCCCAGCAGGCCGCGAATATCGCCCGAGCTAGCCCCAGAGGCTTCCAAGAATACCCCCCAAAAGGGTCCAAGAGGGCCCAATACGGCCCAAGAGGCCCCCAAACGGGCTCCAGGGGCTCCCAAGAGGGCCCAAGAGGGGAATCCGGATTGCCATTTGGAGCCATTCCCCTTACAGATGGCCCCCGACACCGCCAGCAGGCTCTCACGGGCCCCCAAGAGACCCCCAGAGACCCCCAGAGACACCCGTGACCGGCCCCAGGAGGCTCCAAAGAGGCCCAAAACTACCGACACGAGGACCCCGAGAGGCCTCCAAAAAGAAACCACAGCCAGCCTCCCAACAGGACCTCTGGTCCACGACCGTCTGGCCGAAGGCAACTAAACCTACATACGTACAGTACGGGCTGGCCGACCGAGTGAAGCGATGTAATAATTTGATGAAGCTATGTTTGCGAAAGTCCTGCCGGACTTCTGCGAGCGAAGATGAAGACGAGGGAAGGAAGATTACAAGTACGAAAGAAAAGGAATACCTTCCAGACCGGCACAACATTCGAGGCGACAGCCCAGTCCAACACTAACCAGCCTCGCACGTATCCCTATCCCTACGATTGGCGAGCAAAAAGCTAGGACAATATTAGGGACAGGCCCTCAGAAACTGAGGGAATCCTCAAGATCGGCATCGAGGTAAGATGATATCAAACATAGGGATAGGAATATGTTTCAAACTGGTAAAACACGACCATCCAAAACATGATGGGTGGGACGCGGTCACGAAGAATTTTCGAAACTAGACGCGAACCGCAATGTTCGCTGACGGCCGCGAAACTTGTGCCATGCCGAGGGTCGCAAAACCAATGGCGATTCGCGCGTCGAGGCCTGGGCTAGAGAGCTGTCCTTCTCCAGGGGGTGGGCCTCGTGAGGGCGCGACAATAAACGCGCGTCGCGCATCGCGGGGCGAAATGCGCGAAGGAAGGTGACCAACCCATACCCCAGAGGTCATGATGCATTCGTGACGTCGACACCTAGGAGGTTTCAACCCATTTCCCCAGGACCAGCTTCTCATCTGGTGCCATGCTCTGACCATTCCCTGGCCGACGAGGGCCCCCAAAGGCCGAACATGACAAAACAACGTGTCCCGTGCATGTTTCACGATGCGAGGGGGTCTGCGGCGAGATGCGCGAAGTTTGGCGACTTGGGACGCCGCGGGCAGCCTGTGACTTTTCTGGGAGTCCGCGTGGGCGCTTGGATGTCGAAAGTTAGCAAACAAGACCCGGCTGTGCACTCGTCATGCTTCAAATATGTAGAGCAGGGGCCAGCCACAACAGTCTCCATTATCACAGGGATGCCGGATTCATATCAGTATCGTCCTCCTCCCCACCATCATCACCACCAACATCATCATCAGCAGCATCAGCATCGTCATCCTCATCAAGATTGCAAGTATCATCACCACCACAATCCACACAATTGTCATCAATCACGCAACCCCCATCGACACTCCCATGCACCAACCAGCAGCATCACCATCATCATCATCATCATCATCATCATCATCATCATCATCATCATCATCATCATCATGATCATCATCATCATCAGCAGCATCATCATCATCATCATCAGCATCAGCATCATCATCAGCAGCATCCTCGGCATCATCACCCTCCTCCTCTTCCTCCTCCTCCTCCTCCTCCTCCTCCTGCTCCCCTCCCCTTGGCGACCCCCCCTTCCCTGGCTTAGCAAAGAAAACGGCGGGGAGCGCCTGCAGCGCCGTCGCCGCCGGCTCCGCGGCGCCGCCCTCGCGCGTCGCGCTGGCGGCGAAGTCGGCCTGCGCGGGGGGGGGAAGGGGGGGGGGGCGCGGGTGCAGAGAGGGAGCCAAGGGGGCGGGGAGGGGAAAGCGGGTGCAGAGGGGGAGCAGGGGGGTGGGGGGGGAGGAAGGTGCAGATGGGGGAGTCGCTCGCTCCTCGCCCCTTCAACCTGCAGCTCCTCCTGGTCCAGCTCCTCCTCCCCGCTGCTCCTTCTCCACCTCCTCCTCCTCCTCCTGCTCATCCTCCTCCTCCTCAACATCCTCATGCGCCTCCTCCTAATACTAGTAGTCCTGTGTGGGTATGTACGTACACATGTTCAGGTATACCAAGACATGCATGTGTATATATATATATGTGTATAGATATACCGATACACAAAAATATACATGCCTCCATCCACCCACCCATCAATGCACGCACGCGCGCTCGCACGAATACATGCATAGACACATGCATGCATGAATACAACCATATATACATACACATATATACAACCATACCTACATGTATACATACATACATACATACATACATGCATGCATACATGCATACATGCATGCATGCATGCATACATACCTACATACATACGTACATACATACATACATATATGCATACATAAATACATACATACATACATACATACATACATACATACATACATACATAGATACATAGATATATACATACATACATGCATACATATACATATGCATACATACATGCATAAATCCGTACATACACGCACGCGTGCATACATTCATACATGCATACACGCATACATGCATACATACATACATACATACATGCATACATACATGCATACATACCTACATACGTACATACATATTTACATACACATATACATACATACGTACATGCATGCATACATACATGCGTGCATACATACATACATACACACATGAATGCATGCATACATACGTGAGTACGTACGTGCATACATACAGACATGCATTCATGAGTGCATACCTACATAGCCACGTGCCGAACATGGCACACCATATCATAACATGGACGCATACATACATACGAGCATACATACAGTCATGCATACACCCATACATACAAACACACATATACACATATGTATACACACATGCATGCATACATGCATGGGTGCGTGCATGCATACATACATACCCACCTACCTGCCCTACCTACATATCTACCTACATACCTACATAGCTACCTAGATACAGACAGACCCACACTCAGATAGACATTCCAACATACACACATACATACATGTTTACACACATACATACATGAACAGTTATATCAATGCATACATGTCCGCATATACACATACATACGTACACGCATGCATACATGCATCCATACACTCATACTAACGCACACACATACACACATACATACATACATACATACATACATACAGCCCCACATGCATATCAACATGCACATATACATACATACAAGCATACATATATACGGCATACATACCTACCTACCTGCATACAGACGTACCTACATTCATACATACCTACATACCTACGTACACGTATACACAAATGTACCTATCTCTGCACATGTATGTATGTGCGTGTGCGTGTACAAAAGCATGAACTAACAAACACGCGCGCGCGCGTCGCGCCCCCGTAGGTTCTTGACAGGCGCCATCACAGGACTTGCGGTGAAGCCATGGGAGTTGAAGTAGGTACAACAAAATCAAAACATTGCTGAGCATCCCCTGGAAACAAGAAACCGTGTGGAAAACACACGAAGATAACCGGAGGAGTCAGGGAGCGCATGGAGGAACGCTCCCATTCCTCCTTTCCCCACGGATCCACAAGCTTAGCATCACCATCGTCGTCATCAACAACGTCGTCATCCTCATAGTCATCAACATCAACAGTATTCTAGACATCACCATCGTCAACATCGTCATCGACATCATCATCATCACCATCACAACCATCAACATGAGGATAACTATCATAATCATCACGATCATCGCCCCCATCATCAACAACATCCAGAGATGCATCACCATCACTGGCATTATCACCACCACCATCAGCCCCACCATAACAATCGCCATCGTCATCGTCATCGGCATCATCATCAACTTTCACCACCTGCGGCTCCCTCATCACCCTTGTCATCCCTGTGCGTTCTCCACCTTGGCACCATCATCGTCAACATTATCCCATCGCAACCAATCATCTTCTCCGGTTCCTTCCTCAATCTCCTTTCACCGGGGCGGTTTGGACCCGTTCTCGACTCCTTAGCGTTGGCGGCGACTGCGATGATACGTGCCCTCGTTGCCAGGGAGCCCCCGAAACTGATGTCCATCGTTTCTTGGAGTGCCCTGCCAATTCGAGCTTCCAGGACATCTCGGAGGCTTTCGCCCGGCGCGGGGCCATGGCACCTTCGGAGTGTCCAATGTTTTGGCTCCGCGGCCTCACACCCAAGTCCTGGACCCATGTCCCTCCCCCCCCCCCGACGTTCCCGCTCCTGCACCTCGGGCGCGTTTCCCAGTCCGGGAGGGGACGGAGGGGGTTCTGCTTCCCTGCCCCCCCAGGGAACTCGCACCTGGGGAGCGGGGGATGCGAGCAGGAGGGAAGTTCTCGAAGGACAGGCGGCTCAGGCGGGGCCACAGTGCTTGATGATGATGCTGCTGCGGGTGATGATGATGATGACGATGGCGATGATGATGGTGATGATGCTGATGCTGATGCTGATGCTGATGCTGATGCTGATGCTGATGATAATGATAATGATGAGGATGATGCTGATGCTGATGATGATGATAATGCTGATGCTGCTGCTGCTGCTGCTGCTGCTGCTGCTGCTGATGATGATGATGATGATGATGATGATGATGATGATGATGATGATGATGATGATGATGATGGTAGCGCCCCCCGCGCTTGCGTGCCCCTGTGGCTTCGAGAAAATGCCACGCGGGCTAAGCCCTGGGACACCGCACACCCTGCGCAGCCCGTACGGTGTCGAGAAAATGCAACGCCTGCAATGCCCTGCGCGACCAGCGTGCATAGCGGCCACGCTCAGAGAAGAACCCCCGCGCACCCCCTGTGGTGTCGATGAAGTGCCACGCATGCTGTGCCCTGCACGACCAGGGTGCGTAGCGGCCGCGCTCAGAGACCACCCCCTGCGCACTCCCTATGGTGTCGAGAAATTGCCACGCATACTATGCCCTGCACGACCGGCGTGCATAGCGGCCGCGCTCAGAGATTACCCCCTGCGCACCCCCATACGGTGTCGAGAAAATGCCACGTATGCTGTGCCCTGCACGACCGGGATGCGTAGCGGCCGCGCTCAGAGACCACCCCCTGCGCACCCCCTACGGTGTCGAGGATGCCACGCCTGCGATGCCTTGCACGACTGGCGTGCATAGCGGCCACGCTCAGAGACCACCCCTTGCGCATCCCCATGGTGTCAAAAAAAGACCACGCCTGCTATGCCCAGCATGACCGGCGTGCATAGCGGCCGCGCTCAGGGACCACCCCCTGCGCACTCCCCATGGTGTCGAGGAAAGTGCTACGCCAGATATGCCCTGCACGACCTGCGTGCACAGCGGCGGCGCTCAGAGACCACCCCCTGCGCAACCCCATATGGTGTCGAGAAAGTGCCACGCCGGATATGTCCTGCACGACCACCGTGCATAGCGGCCGCGCTCAGAGACTCCTCCAAGCGCACCCCCTACGGTGTCGAGGAAGTGCCGCGCCTGCTATGCCCTGCACGACCGGGGTGCGTAGCGGCCGCGCTCAGAGACCACCCCCTGCGCAACCCCATATGGTGTCGAGAAAATGCCACGCCTGCTATGCCCTCCACGACTGGCGTGCATAACGGCCGCGCTCAGAGACCAACCCCCAAGCGCACCCCCATATGGAGTACCACGCATGCTATGCCCTGCACGACCAGGGTGCGTAGCGGCCGCGCTCAGAGACCACCCCCTGTGCACCCCCATACGGTGTCGAGAAAAAAAACCTGCATACTATGCCCTGCACGACCGGCGTGCATAGCGGCCGCGCTCAGGGACCACCCCCTGCGCACTCCCCATGGTGTCGAGGAATGCCACGCATGCTATGCCCTGCACGACCTGCGTGCACAGCGGCGGCGCTCAGAGACCACCCCCTGCGCAACTCCATATGGTGTCGAGAAAGTGCCACGCCGGATATGTCCTGCACCACGGGCGTGCATAGCGGCCGCGCTCAGAGACCAACCCCCTGCGAAACCCCTATGGAGTGCCACGCATGTTATGCCCTGCACGACCGGCGTGCATAGCGGCCGCGCTCAGAGACCACCCCCTGCGCACCCCCTACGGTGTCGAGAAAAAAAACGCCTGCTATGCCCTGCACGTCTGGCGTGCATAACCACGCTCAGAGACCACCCCAAGCGCACCCCCTACGGTGTCGAGAAAATGCCACGCCTGCTATGCATTCCACGACCAGTGTGCGTGCCTTCCACGACCAGTGTGCGTAGCGGCCGCGCTCAGAGACCACCCACTGCGCACTCCCTATGGTGTCGAGGAAAGTGCCACGCCGGATAACTATGCCGTGCACGACCTGCGTGCACAGCGGCGGCCCTCAGAGACCACCCCCTGCGCAACCCCATATGGTGTCGAGAAAATGCCACGCCTGCTATGCCCTCCACGGCTGGCGTGCATAACGGCCGCGCTCAGAGACCACCACTGCGCACCCACATACGGTGTCGAGAAAGTGCCAGGCATGCTTTGCCACGCACGATCTGCGTGCATAGCGGCCGCGCGACCAACCCCTGCGCACCCCCTATGGTGTCGAGAAAGTGCCAGGCCTGCTGTTCATGGACGACTGGGTCTGGACGTGGCGCATAAGTCTTGGGTGTGTGATGCAGTGAGCACAGCAAGTGTGCACTGGCGTAATCAGTTTGTGCGTGCGCGCGCCTGCTTGCATGCGTTTCTTGTGTCTTGTGCGCCTTGCGCATGTGTATGATGTGTGTGCGTGTGCGGCTGTAGGTGAACGCGTGTCTCAATGTGGGTGTGCGTGTGCGCGCGTGTCTGCATGCGTGTCTTGTGTTTTGTGCGCCTTGTGCATGTGTATGATGTGTGTGCGGCTGTAGGTGGGCGCGTGTATCACTATGAGTGTATGATACAGTCGACACGCCAGGTGCGCGCTGGCGCTGTATGTTGTGTGCGTGTGTGTGTGTGGGTGTGTGTGTGTGTCTCTCTGTGTGTGTGTCTGTGTGTCTGTGTGTCTGTGTGTCTGTGTGTCTCTGTGTCTCTGTGCCTCTGTGTCTCTGTGTCTCTGTGTCTCTGTGTCTCTGTGTCTCTGTGTCTCTGTGTCTCTGTGTCTCTGTGTCTCTGTGTCTCTGTGTCTCTGTGTCTCTGTGTCTCTGTGTCTCTGTGTCTCTGTGTCTCTGTGTCTGTGTCTCTGTGTCTCTGTGTCTGTGTCTGTGTCTCTGTGTCTGTGTCTGTGTCTGTGTCTGTGTGTGTGTCTGTGTGCGTGTGCGTGCGTGTGCGTGTGCGTGGGCGTGTGCGTGTGCGTGTGCGTGTGCGTGTGCGTGTGCGTGTGCGTGTGCGTGTGCGTGTGCGTGTGCGTGTGCGTGTGCGTGTGCGTGTGCGTGTGCGTGTGCGTGTGCGTGTGCGTGTGCGTGTGCGTGTGCGTGTGCGTGTGCGTGTGCGTGTGCGCGTGTGCGCGTGTGCGTGTGCGTGTGCGTGTGCGTGTGCGTGTGCGCGTGTGCGCGTGTGCGCGTGTGCGCGTGTGTGCGCGTGTGCGCGTGTGCGTGTGCGCGTGTGCGCGTGTGCGCGTGTGCGCGTGTGCGCGTGTGCGCGTGCGCGTGTGCGCGTGTGCGCGTGTGCGCGTGTGCGCGTGTGCGCGTGTGCGCGTGTGCGCGTGTGCGCGTGTGCGCGTGTGCGCGTGTGCGCGTGTGCGCGTGTGCGCGTGTGTGCGCGCGTGTGCGTGCGCGTGTGCGCGTGTGCGCGTGTGCGTGTGCGCGTGTGCGTGTGCGTGTGTGTGTGCGTGTGCGTGTGCGTGTGCGTGTGCGTGTGCGTGTGCGTGTGCGTGTGTGAGTGTGTTGTGTGTTGTGTGTGTGGTGTGTGTGGTGTGTGTGTGTGTGTGTGTGTGTGTGTGTGTGTGTGTGTGTGTGTGTGTGTGTGTGTGTGTGTGTGTGTGTGTGTGTGTGTGTGTGTGTGTGTGTGTGTGTGTGTTGTGTGTGTGTGTTGTGTGTGTGTGTGTGTGTGTGTGTGGTGTGTGTGTGTGTGTGTGTGTGTGTGTGTGGTGTGTGTGTGTGTGTGTGTGTGTGTGTGTTGTGTGTGTGTGTGTGTGTGTGTGTGTGTGTGTGTGTGTGTGTGTGTGTGTGTGTGTGTGTGTGTGTGTGTGTGTGTGTGTGTGTGTGTGCGAATGTGTGCACGCGCGCGGCTGTATGTAGACGCGTGGCTCGTGTACGCGCCGTGCATGTGTTTCGTGTGGGTGAGGAGAGGAAGGAAGAGAAGGAGAGGAGAGGAGGGAGGTTAGGAAGACGCGAGTGCGACGCGGCAGGGAAGAAAACGATAACCCCACGAAGCATGTGGGGAAACAACTTCCTCCAGAAACCGATGGGTTATCAATTTCTTTGGCCTCCTCGGGACCTCTTGGGGGTCCTCTTGAAGTTCTCTTGGGCTGTCCTGGCACCCTTCTGGGCCGTCTTAGGGTGCTTTGGCCGTCCTGGGGCTCTATTGGGGACCTCTTGGGGCGCTCGTGGGGCTCTCTTCGGGCCCTCTAGAGGCTCTCCCGAGCCACGCTAAAATCAGGGCCAGCGTGTGCAAGTCAGCTTCCAATGTTTTGTTCCATTAACAAAAGTGAAGGGTCCGACCGACATCACTTCCTGACTGATCTGGACAGGCCTAGATCGTTCGCCCTACGGCCAGCGCAGCCCATCGCAGCCCAACGGGCTGCCATGGCTACTCCTGTACACTGTACACACTGAAGCCTCTCTGCTCAGCGATGCGCCGCTCAGCTAGGCTTCACAAGAAAAACGGTGGTGGTCGCTGCTTGTCGGTTGCGTTGGCCCCTCGGGTGCCAGCGCGCACTCTGCGTCTGGGCGCCAGGTCCAGGATTGCAAGCCTGATCTCCGACAAGGGGAGCAAGAAGGAGGGAAGCGCAACATTCGCGCCACCGGGAACGGGGGCCCAGCTCCTGATGGCACGCCTTGCCTTCCTACTGGAACGGGGATCGTGCTCAAGCCCGCAACGCGTCCGAGCTCAAGCACGCTGACGTTATGCCCTTGCCCTTGGGGAATCCAAAAAGTCAGCTGGCGACCGGACTGATCAGGACAGACCTAGATCGCCACGGCAAGTGAAGACCAACGGACTGACGTGCATATTCCTATACACATCAGAAGTGATAGGACCAGCGAGCCCAGGAAGGGAGGCACAGCCTTTCCCGCCCCTGGACATCGCCGATGAGAGAACCCGAGGGCCCCGGCTCGGACATACGATTATCGCGAGGAGAAGCTCACAAGGTCTGCAAGCAGGATCGCGGGAGCAGGCGACCGTCGAGGCGTCGAGCGTGCACCACCCTGGCGGCTCGCGTGGAGGCCGCTGGGGAAAAGCCAAAGCCTCGGCGGCGAGCACCGCGATGGCGCCGCGGCCGCCGCAGTCGGGAGGGGGAGGAAGCGGAGCAGGAGGAGGAGGAGGCGGAGAAGGAGAAGGAACGGACGGCCAAGTACGGTGGGTATCGCGGTGACCCCGTCGCATTGACAATGGATCCCTGTGCTGCCAGCGGAACAAAAAACGCTATAGTGCGCAATCCGGCAGATGCTCATTCCATTTTCCCCGAGGAGGAAAAAGAAAAAGAGGCGGAGGAGGGAGTGAAGAGAACGGGGGAGAAACCATGAGGAGTGAAGGAGGAAGGAACCCAAGCGCGGAGAGCATCGCCATGCCCCAGCCGCGTTGACGATGGATCCCATATTTGCCAGGGTAAAACAGAAGCTTCAGCGCGAGATTCGGCGGAACCTCATTCCATCTTCTTCGAGGAGGAAGAAAAGGGAGAGGGAGGGGGAGAGGGAGGGAGGGGGTAAGGAAGAGGCGGAAGAGGGAGGAGACTGCCCGGGCAACGACGGCCACGCTCGCAACGGGTGCGACCAGCGCGACGCGCCCGCGCGTGCCTGCGACTGCAGTCATGCTAATGGCGGTCGCCGGCTGAGTGCTCTGCGCGATCTGCGCTGGCGTGGTATGCGTCGTGCCTGCTGGGCAGCATAGCCGCCGCTGCCCTGCGGCAAGGCGGGACACGGGCAGGCACCGCGACTCGCAAGCTGCCGCGCTGCGGGTGGCGAGCGCACGCGCACTCGAGCCACCGCTGGAGAAGAAGGAGAAGAAGGAGAAGACACGGATGGAGATGATGATATTGGTGATGTTCCTACCCATCCTCTCCCCCCACCCTCTTCGCCCACCGCGCCCTGCTCCTCAGCGTCTCCCCCCCCCCGCTGGGCTGCCTAGACAGCGACATGCTCCCTGGCGCCTGACGGCGGCAGGCCCGACGCGACCAGCGCGACGCGCCCACAAGCGTTCCTGACCGCGTCCATATCGCTGCCAAAGGCCAGCTGGGTGACCTGCGTGAACTTCTCTGCGTCCGAGTTGGGCTTGACGACTGGCGCTGGCCCCATGGCCCAGACGTAAGCCTGCTCCCGCTCGGCCGCCCCGAACCACTCGGGGCGGAGGCCGCCCAGCGGAAGCACGCCCGCGCGCGCGAGGCCGAGGCCTCGCAAGCCCGATGCCAGCGCGCGGGGGGCCAGGAGGCCAACGGACGCCTCGTGCATGACCACCGCGGTGCCCTAGCTGAGGCTCTGCTGCCGGAGCTGCATCAGGATCGCCCCCAAGCCCGCCCCGCGCTTCACGCGAGGTCCTGCCTGCTCAGGACCCGGAAGAGCGCGAGAGGAGCGCGGCAGGCCACGAGGGGAGCGACGGGGACCAGATCTGCCAGCCCATGCAGTTTTTTGACGAGCAGGGTCGGGCGACAAGCGCTGCCGCAAGCGCCCCGAAGAGGCGCCCGACTCAGTCGGGCACCTTGGGGAGCTGCGCGAGACGCCGCGCCGCCAGCGCCGCGCACTCGGATACGCTGCCCCCCGCGCAGCGCACGTCGTGCAGCGGAAGCAGGGCTTGCCAGCCCGTGCAGCGCAAGATGCGCCTCTCTGCCGCGTCCACCGCCGGGCCCTCGCTGGGCAGGGTCTGCGAGGCGCCCTCGGCCTTCGCCAAGATCCTCAGCACCGCAATCGCGGCCGCCGCGGCCTGCTCGTCGAAGCTCAGGCCGCGCGGGCCGCCAGGACGTCGCACATGTGCGTGCTGTCGAACCAGGCTTTCTGTGGACAGGCTGCGCGGGTGGCTCGGGCCCAGACCTGCGAGATAGCGGCCATGAGGAAGCGCGCGAGGGCGAGCCTGCTGGGGCCGCTGAGCAGCAGGGCGTTCGTGCCCGGCGTGGCCATGCGCTCCTCGCGCTCCGCGCGGCAGCGGAGTAAGGCTGTCGACTCCCCGCAGAACTCGAGCTGCTCCTCCGAACCGCGCTGCTCGGCGGGATGCCCGCGGTAGCACCAGCCGCCCGCCTTCCGCGAGGGACTCTCTCGAGTGGCCGCGAGGAGGGAAAGCTTGGCGCTCTCGGACCGAAAGCTTCTCGAACTGAAGCGGCTTGAGCCAAAAGAAATACGAAGTCAGCTTCCAGTTTCTGTTTACTGTCGGATGTTCCTAGGGTACGGCGTGAGCGTAGGCGGATGGTGCTAGATAACTGGAGGGTGTGCAGTCGTACCTGGGACAGAAAAACACCCTTCAAGAACATGAGACCCTCCGTCGACCGATACCCACAGGACATCCAAGGAAACCCTCCCCAGGATGCACAAGAAATGCAGGAGCACGGGGAGAAGAAGGGTAATCTCTCGAACCGACCCTCTGCCCTCCCCTCGCCTGCACGCCCAGCAGCACCGCGTTCAGGAGAATAAGCATGCCCACCTGCCGCTGGCGGAGCGGCGGAGAGAGCGGGAAGGAGGGAAATGGATGGGCGAGGGCCAGGGCAAGAGGTGGGAAAAGGGGGGCGGGGAGGCGGAGAAGGGGGAGAGAGGTGCAGAAGCGGAGGCTAAGGAAGCGAAGGCGGAGGAGGAGGAGTACGACGACAAAGACGCGGTCGAGGGAAGGTGAAGGGAGGAAGAGGAGGAGGAGGAGGAGGAGGAGGAGGAGGAGAAAAAAGGGTAATCGGAGGACGAGCACGAAATGGCGTCCCCTGCGAACGAAGGGGAACGAATGAGCGAGGGAGGTGGCCAGAGGAGGGAGAACGGAGGATACGAAGGGCAGTGCGATTTTTGGGCGACGGCTGATGGCCGACGAGGAGGACCCGCTCGTTCTGATCCACGAGGTCCGCGGCACTCCCTCTCCACCGTCTCCATCCTCCCTTCTTCCCCTCACTCGCTCCCTCCCTCCCTCCTCCCGTAACTACCCCTGATCATCAATATCCTAAGCCTCCCTCGCCCAATACACCTCCCGTCTCTCTCCTCCCCCTCTCGTTCCCCATGCTTCCTGCCTTGCACCTCCCCCCTGCTTCCTCCTCCGCCCTCCCTCCATTCTCCATCCTCCCGGCTGGCGGTTGACGGCCCGCCCGTCCAGCAGCTCCCCGCCCTGGAAGCTGCAGGGAACGGCCGCGCGCCACGAGGGACGCGGCTGCTGGACACGGTCCCCGGCAACCGCCCGCTCCGGCCGCCTGCCCCCCCCCCCCCGCCTACTCCCATCCCCATCATTCCCCCCTGCAGTTGTCCAAATGATGTCCCCGACCCCTCCGCGCAGGGATGCCTGGCGTGCTGAATCCTATACTCGGTTTGGTTATGCTGTTTTCCAAATGAAGCCCCTCTGGGGCTTCGGCCCAGCTGCGCAGGTCGCCTCTAAGCTACATGACTCCAAGACATGATGTTCAAAGGCCTGTCAGAATCCAGTTGTCTTCGGTGCTTCAGAATGGCGTTCCCGCTGCTGCGTGGGCCGCATGTTCGGATCGGCGTGCTGCTGCCATTGTCCGCAGCGGGGTTCTGGACCCAGCGCGGGCCACGTTTGTGGATCCGACTCTTGCACGATTGTGGTCCAATTCCGTTATCTCCCCTCCCCCACCTTCCCCATGGTCCCCCTTTCCCTCCACATCCTTCCGCTTCAGTTCCTGATGTTTCTGCTCCTCCGCCCGCTCACCCGCGACCTCCGACTCTTCCTCCTCATGCGCAGGCAGCTCCCCAGCGCCCCATCGCGCTTAAGACGACGTGTTCTACCTGCGTCAGCCGCAGGTCGGCTATGACATGCGCGCGCGGATTGAAACCAAATCGCGCCCTGGGGACGGATAGGAGGCATAGGATGTCGGGTGAGGCGCGAGCGCGCCTAGCCTGTCCCTCGATCCGATCCTCTTCCGTTCCGGGAGGGCGCGGGCCCGCTCGCCTGGCAACCCCCTACCCGAGCGGGCTCGGGCTCGCCTCGGGGGGCGCTCCATGGAGCGACCGGGACGCCCCGAGCACCTCGCGGGACGGGGGTTGCCAGCCACGGCCTCTGGTAAACGCCCGCGCCAGACGCCCTGACGGGGGTGCTCCCACCCCCCTCCCTCACCAGTGGCCTCCTTCCCTCTGCCATCCTCCGTGACCTTCTTCCTCCCTCCCCCCCCACCCCCGGACCGTTTCTCCCTGTCTCCGTCCTCTTCACTCCTGCGTCCAGCCCACCTCTTCTCCCCCCCCCACCCAGGAGGGAGGACGGACCGCGCTGCGGTGACGCCCCGCAACCCCGGCGCGGCTGACGTAGGCACAGCGGGGCGGATTGCTCGTCCACGCCGAGGTGCGAAGGCGGCGCAAAGGCCAGAGTCCCAGCAGCAAGCCCAACACGCAAATCCCATGTTGTCCAAGAGTAAACACGGCCAAGGGACCCTTCCTAGGATTTGCAAAGTAAAGGCCCATCAAGATTTAGACAGTTTGGACCCTGGGTCCAGGGAAAAGTTCCTGGCCATGGGAAACGACGTTGCCGATAGATTAGCCAAGGCAGCTGCCAGCAAAGCGGGGGGACCCTCGCCTGCCGAGATCCAGGATTACGATTTGAGCCACGGTTTCCTGTTACGGTATTTGCGGTTCCTCGCCAAAGGCCTCCCGACCTGGCCTGCCATCGCCCCAACACCTGGCAGCAAGGCCTGCGAGGGGCCGAGTTTCAAGCACGAGAGTAGGCCATTAGTGGGCGCTGCCGCAGCTGCCGTCCTCGCCCCTCTCCTGCCTCCGACCTCGGTCATCGATGGCGACCCCGCTCGGGGCGACCAGAACCAAGGCGGCGCCCACCAGTGGGCTCAAGTAGGTGAAAGCTTCTGGATGTGCGAACTCTGCCGAGCTCGTGCTCGCTCGGAAGCTGCTAAAGATAGGGAGTCGCGCCAGGCCTGCCCAGGCCACTGCGCGAGTTTGGCTGCCCTTTCCGAAGACTGTAAAGGGCACAACATTTATGTGTTCGACCGCTTAGATTCCGAGAGTTGTGCTCTTGCCTGTTGGTCTTGTGGCGCTTACAGTGGATTCTATCCCAAGGCATTCAAGAAGGAGTGCAATGGGGCCCCAACCAGCAGTAAACAGACATCCACATTAACCTGCTTTAAGACCTGCCGCCACCCCAAGGGAGGCATGAAAAGCAGGCCGTGTTTTGCACCCCCAGTTACCCCTTGATTCAATGATCAGGGCATTGCAGCAAGCGCCCGGGTAGTACGGCAGAGAGCAGACAGACCTCAGTCAGTCACATGCGCTGGTCCTCCTCCTCCTCCTCCTATTCCCCCCGTCCTCCCCCGTCATCGCCCTCGCCCGCCAGGAGGTCCCACTCCTTCAGCTCCACGAGGGCCACGGCGCCCCGGCGGACGGGCGCCAGACAGGGGCAGAGCGTGAAGTCCATGTCGGCCGACTGATGGGGGGCCGTGGAAGACTGCCGGGAGGGGCGTCGCCAGAACGCAAAGAGGGGAGCGAGGCGGAGGGGGGGAGGGGGGGGAGGAGGCACGCCCCTCATCCTCAGCTGCTGAACCAGAAGCACGACACTGAGCAACACTGAGCTGCTGGGTGACTCGAGGCTGAACTGAATCGACTCCTCCAAGGTCGGCACACCACTCCAGGGGGGGGGGAGACACCGTACTCGGTGTCTCCTCCTGGGGGTGAAGTGCCCCAGCCCAGGAGATGAACCCAGGCAAGGACCAAAGGTTGAAGGTCGGAAGCACCACCCGCCGCCGTGCGGGAGCAGACGCCTAGACCCATCCCCTTCTGCCAAGAACGCGTCCTCCTCCTCCTCCTCCTCCTCCTCCTCCTCCTCCTCCTCCTCCTCCTCCTCCTCCTCCTCCTCCCCCTCAGCCTCAGCCTCCTCCGCATCTTCTCATCTACGGGATGTCGCATGGAGGTCGCAGGATGTGTAAGAGGGCCCCACCGGCTCCAAGCAGCCCAGGGTGGCCTGCAGACTTTGACGCAAAACAAACAAGCCTGCGACGCCTTGGGCCAGGATCCGAGAGAACTGCGGGGAGACCGCTGGATGCCTGGAGGAGGAGATCCCACACCTGGGGGGTTCAGGGAGATCGTGGAGGAATGTTCGTTTCAAGGCTGAGTTTTCAGAAACCTGTTCTGGGCCCACTGGCCAACAAACAAAAACAGGCCTCAGCGTCAAACCCTTTCGAGATATGCGGTCGGTAATTCTGGAGCCTCATCCGCTATAAACCCCAGGCGACGGAGATATGGAACTGGAGGCAGGTTGAGCACGGTGGTGGAAGAGGGGGCATGGGCGAGGTGCGAAACAGAGAGCAAAAAGGAACATGAGGTAGGGAACAAGTCCAGCGGTTCAGGCAGAAGGTGAAGGGGCATTAGTAACTTCGTGCACAACCATGGGGGTGGCTGCGCCTGCATGCATGCATGTATGCACACACCTATGGGCGTACGTATGTACACACATCTATTGAGATCGATCGCGCGCGCGGTCTTAGCGCGAGCCCTGACATTCTGTGTTTGGGCTTGAGGGCAATGTAACGTAAACAGCGAAAGACAGGCAATGCCCAAACAAAAAGGAACCGCGGGTATCGACGCCAACACGTTTGTTGATGATAGTGCGATTCGGGGCTCGGGTTGGGAAGCGAAATGTGCAACCAGCCGAGATCCCTCAAAATTTTGACATTTCGCAGGGATGTCAAAGTCGAGACCCCCGAGATAATATAAAAACACATGGGCTCGCAACAAAAACTCCCAAACAAAACGCGTGCGTTGGGGCTCAGGCGACATGTTCATAACTTGGTACCACTGGTTACCAAACGTGGCTATCGCGCGCGTGGTGGAATCGCACAAATGCCACTTGCGCGCGGTATCGCAACAGCCCCTTGCAAACAATGGGGCGAAGTGCACACGCGGGCGTTCGTTGCGCGCGCATGCCAAAATTGTTCCAAAACGTTACGCTTTGTAAGAAAGTGATGGTCGAGTGCACCGAAAACACATGAAACAAATGGATTGGCAACAGCAATGTTCAAAAATGTTTGCGCTCGCGTTCCTGTGATGTTTCTTTGGAAGCATGGACTTTGTTTGACATGTCCATTGAATTCGGCCAAACGAACCTCTCGCGCCGCATGTCAAAATCAGTCGAACGCCCTTGCGCGCCGGCAGGAGGGGGGCACGATCCGTGCCACATAACACCACGCGGGCCATTCCCGCGCGTCGGCCGCGCGCGTCTTTCGAACTCCCTCCAAAACCTGCATCACCGACGCAAGGACGGTGTCATCGTCGCCGGCTTTATCACCATCGGCGCCTGCATTGGCCTCGCCGTCGTCGTTGTCATCCTCGTCACTAGGACCGCTACCATCATCTTCGCGAGTGCCATTGTCGACGTTGCCATGACACCGCGCCCGCCCAAGTCGCCGACTAGCACTGAAGTGACCTCTGGAGATTGCCGAGCGGTCAGCGCCACCGCGGCCACGTCGGTCGAGCCAGATTACCTGGCCGCTGCGCGGCCGCAGAGATGCACCAGACAAACCCAAGCACTCATCGCAATCGCCGCCGCATGGTTGTGCACACCTGCGGGCGGGTGGGTGGGATGATTGCGCGAGCAATTGAGTGAACAACTCACTGAGAGCAGACATGTGCTCTCATACATAAAAGGTATCTTTGTTAATAATAGAACGAACCCTGGGAAAGCATGCGGGTTCGCGAGGCTGTCATAATCGAATGTCCCCAAAACATATAGCAAGCAAGCAATTTTGCAACACCACTTTTCAAAACAGATCGTGCGTTCGCGCTCATGCGGGTTATGGGGGGGGAACCGTAGGTTTCCCAAGATGTGAACCAAATTCTGCTAAACGGCCCCCCCGCGCCGCATGTCGAAGTCACCTGAACGCCTTGGCGCGCGTGCTGAAGGTGGCGCGACTTTCGTCGTATACTAAAAGGTCGGCCAATCGCGCGCGTCGGCCGCGCGCGCATGTCGAACTTTCTCAACAACCTCCATTGCCGACGTGAGAACATCATCATTTTTACCGGCGAGCGTGATCAACTTCGGCGCCGTCATTGGCCTTGCCGTCGTCACCACCCCCTTCGCCACAGTCGCTGCTCTCATAATCGTGTCTACCGTTGTCGGCGTCGCCATGGCACCGCGCCCGCCAAAGTCACCGACTCGCACTGAAATGCCCTCTGGGATGTGCCCAGCGGTCAGCGCCACCGCGGCCGCGTCGGTCGCGCGAAACTACATGGCCGCTGTGCGCGCGAGCATGCGCGGGCCAGCGCGGCCGTAGAGATGCACAAGACAAACCCAAGTACTCATCGCAATCGCCGCCGCATGGGTTTTGCAAACCAAGTTGTGGGTGATTGGGGGCGATGTTTGCGAGAGCATGAAATTGGCCAGCTTGTCTGCGGAAAAAAAAGATTGCACCACAAAGATTGCACCGCAAATATTGCACCGCAAAGGTTTCAAAACATAGATTGCACAGCATATTTGCACACCAGCGGGCGCACCGCATTGGTTGCACCGCGTGGCGCGCAGAGTGTAGATTGCAACACATAGGCGCCACATAGACTGCACCGCTTAGACAGCACCACATGGCTTGAACAATATAGATTGAGTCGCGCATACTGCACCACGTGGACGGCACGACAAACGTTGCACCAAATACGGCGCGCAACCTCGATTCTTCTGTTCTGAAAGAAGGATAGGATCTACCCCATGCCCCCAATTGAACGCCCCCCTTTGCGCATTGCAATAATTCACATACGACTATGCTGCCCATCGTCCATCCTAAATATGAAGTCGCGCCATCCCAGGCAGGCCGGCATCGTCCACCCCAAGCCCCTGCAACAATTACTACGCGCGCACAATCGAGCCCCTTGCAACACATGGGACGAGGTACGCGCGCGCGCGCGCGCCGTCGCGCATGAGCGCCGAAATCTCTCAAGCACCGTAAGTTGCGCATGGAATTTCCAAATGGGGCGCCCAAGAAGTTTTAAACACATGGTATCGCAGCACGAATTCTCCGGTCAAACTAAAAAATTGAAAGCCAATGCTTCCGCTCTTGCAACTTCTCGAGAAAACCATAGGTTTGTCAACAGCTTCATCGCATTATACGAAATGTGCCTTTCGCGCGCGCATGTCGAAATCGCTCGGGCGCCCTTTTGCGCGCGCGCACTCGCAAGAGTCCCTTCTCAAAAAGCGGGGCGAAGTGCACGCGCGCGTCGCCTCGCGCGCATGCGGAAATCCTGCGAGAACCTTACGTGGCGCAGGGGGTTCGACATCGAGTGCTCCGAAAACACCAAAAACATGGTTTTGCAACATCAGTTGCCCAAAATGCCTGCTTAATTCAATCCATTCGGCCAAGCAGGCATCTCGCGCCGCATGTCGACATCATTCGAACGCCCTTGCGCGCGTACTGAAGGGGAGAACGATCCGGGTCAACTCATGCCATGCTGGCAACTCTGGCGCGTCGATCGCTCGCGCATATCGAAATCCTTCCACAACCTTCACCACCGACGCGAAGAAGCCATCATCGTCGCCGGCGTGATCAGCATCGGCGCCGTCATTGGCCTTGCCGTCATCGGCGTCATCATCGTCGCCAGCATCGCTACTACCATCATCGCGTCTACCGTTGTCGACGTTGCCATGACACCACGCCCACCCAAGTCGCCGACTAACACTGGAGTGACCTCTGGGATGCGCCCAGCGGTCCGCACCACCGCGGCCGCGTCGGTCGCGCCAAACTACGAGGCCGCTGCGCGCGCCAGCATGCGCGGGCCTGCGCGGCCGCAGAGATGCACCAGACAAACCCAAGCACTCATCGCAATCGCCGCCGCATGGTTTCGCACACCTGCGGGCAGGCGGGCGGGATGATTGCGCGAGCAATTGACTGAGCAACTTTACTGGGGGCAGACGTGCGCTTTCATATCTGAAAGGTATACTTGCTAATGATACAACGAACCCTGGGAAAGCACGCGGCTTCGCGAGGCCGTCAAAATCGAGCGCCCCGAAAACATATAGCAAGCAAACAATTTTGTAACAAATTATGGGGAGAACAGCGGGCCCCCCCCAAGACGCAAACCAACTTCCGCTAAACGGCCCCCGCGCGCCGCATGTCGAACTCGCCCGAACGCCTTGGCGCGCGTGCTGAAAGTGGTACGACCTTCGTCGTATACTAAAAGGCGGGCCAATCGCGCGCGTCGGCCGCGCGCGAATGTCGAACTTGCTCAAAAAAACGCCATCGCCGACGCGAAAACATCATCATCCTCACCGGCGAGCGCGATCAACATCGGCGCCGTCATTGGCCTCGCCGTCGCCATCGCCACCTTCGTCACAATCACTACTCTCATAATCGTGTCTACCGCTGTCGGCGTCGCCATGGTACCGCGCCCGCCCATGTCACCGACTCGCACTGAAGTGCCCTCTGGGGTGCGCCCAGCGGTCAG